CGGCACTTGCCATGGAAAGCACGGAGGAATCGGAGGTGGATATAGACATGCTCCTCAATGACCTGGAGTATCTTCCTGGTCACTTCCACCTAGAGATGAACCTGAAATTTGAGCCCAGCTCCCCTGTGAATTTGAGAGAGAGAGATATGAAGCTCAAGAAAGAGAGCCTCATATCTGAGCTGGAGTTTGAGGCTGGCGCCTTGCAGTATGCCATCAGGAACCTCCTTGGGGTCTTCTCTTTCCACCTGGAGGAGACAGAGTCAGCCAAGGAGATTTTCCTCGGCATCACCCAGGAGGACCCTGGCAATCTCAATGCCTGGGCCAACCTGGCCTATGTGTACGACCGGCTAAGCAGTGAGGAAGAAGAGGCAGAATGCGCTGAGAAACTCTCCCACCTCATGGGCCTGGCCTCCACAGATGCGTGCCAGGGGGATGCCAGTCTGCGAGCAGCCCGCTGCTTGGCAGAGCAGGGCTATGCCTATGCCTTCGATGTGGGGCTCGTCAGCGATGAAGACAGGATACAGAAACTGACCTCTGGCATCCTGCTGTATGACAAGGCTCTGACTTACGGGCAGCAGGTCAGTAATCGCGTGCAGCTTGCTGTTTAGTGTCACTCGTTGTGTTTGCCAGGTATGGCCGTAGGTTCTTTGGGCAGAGCAGTAAAGTGTTTGGTGCTGCATGCACTAAATTACCAGCTCCTGGCTGATGTCTTGTATGATCGGGAAGGCAAACATTATGCTCAGAGAGCGTTTACGCCAGGGAGAAGCTCTGGGAATCGCTTCTCTGTTGGCTTTCCACCCTCCCCAGTGTTGGGTCATTTCAAATGGGGAATCTGAGTGAGCTGAATCCTGCAAGCCAGTAAGACGATGCACAGGTGAGCAGGTTCTGCTGAAAAGGCAGCACAATTCTGCAGCGGATGTAAAACTGAAACATCCTTTTCACTGGCTCTTGTCTCAGGTAATCAGGACTGAGGGTGGTTTTTGATTCCAGCCATATCTTTTCTAGCTGTTCAAACAAAGGTGTGTCCTGCGTACTCGGAGCATGGTGGCCCTACAGGGGCTCATAAAAAGCAGGTGGCTGGTATGGAAGTCAGTTTGCTCAGGTGAAGCACTTGGGTTGAGAGGCAGTTTTATTTATTATGAGAGTGTGAAAGGCAGGGGGATGTCCCCTAAGGCGGCCGCAGAACCAGGAGCATCATGTCAGCAAAAAGGTCTGTTGATTTTCTTTCAGGACTCTAACAGGACTGAGTTCTGCTAGCCAAGCCCATGCTTGAGGCAAATCATCCCACTGAAGGTGTCTCATGGAGGAAAACCCAAAAGAAATCAATCTGTCTTGGGAGAGGCCCTTTCCCCAGACTCACCCAGTGCTCTGTCCTATGCAACTCCCAATTGAATGCATCCTCTAGGGCAGTGGTTCTCAATCTTTTTTGTACCAGGACCCATTTGTACACACCAATGGCCAGTCCTGACCCAGTAAATATCTTAGCCCCCTGGCCTTGCTGGTGCCCCTCACTCCTGACCCATTGCCCCCACCACCAGGTCTCAGCTCTCCAGTATGTGGGGCAGGGGTGAGGGGGAGAAAGGTATGGGGGGCCCTAAGCAGCCCCTTGCAGGCTGGAACTGAGCCAGCCTGCAAGGGAAAAGCTATGGTTTCCCACATTTTTCTTCTTTAAAGAATCTCTTTTTAAAGTTTGTTCACGACTCTTTCATATATTTGCAACCCGCTTTTGCGAGATGACCCACAGGTTGAGAAACATTGCTCTAGGGAGAGTGAAAGGGATCCACCACAAAGCACCTGCCAAACCTGATCTCCCTGTGGCTGCCAGAGTGCAAGGGAGCTACTCACCTTGTTTTAAACGTGGTAGTGAACCCAAGAACAAGATAGGACACAGACTTATTTTGATACAGACCCTACCTGCGTGGAACAGTCAGTGGTAGCAAATCATGCACCCTGTGGCACGAGCGGTTTAGCCTGGCCTCAGAATAAAGAAAAATGAGAAGTCAATGTGTCAAGGAGGAAAGCTGCTTGCAGGGGAGGGGGTATCTTCTACTTGGTAGCACAGAGGCCTGGATGGGACGCAACCGGAAACTCCTGGATCCTATTTCCAAGTCTGCCACTAACTTGGACAAGCGACAAAACTACTGTCAGCTTCTCCTTCTTTAAAAAGGACTGATTAGTGCATTAGGTTTATGCAGCAATTTCCCTCTGTTTTATAGGGCTCAAAGCTGAACCAGCATTAATGTGAGAGAGAGCTGTGCCCTGACCCAGCCAGCCAGGCGTTGGCTGGGTCAGAAGCCAAATCTGACTACCAGTCACAGCTCAAGCCACTAGACTGAAGTAGTCACCTGCTGACAAGACCTCCAAGGGTGCCCAGGGTTAGTTCATTCATGTCTGTGCCATGCTGTGGGACTGGTAGATGAAAGCATCCACTGGGGGACCTGCAGAGCAGTGTGAAAGGGAAGATGTTTGCACAGCACCATCAGGGGAAGGGCTGTACAAGGGGTCATGTCTGGTTAGGAGGGAGCCTTTGTGTCAAGTTTCGCCTTGGTTAAAAAGCTCAGGGAGCTTCAGTGGAGCTACAAGAAGCTGAGGATCTGGCCCAGGGTCTCATAGTACTAAATACAAAGTGTTTGGAAAATTGCTTGCCCAGGCAGAGTGCGTGTCCTTCTTGTCCATGGCCATCTTTTCTTCTCATAGGCCACTTGACTCCTTCAGATGATGTTCAGGTGTTAACACAGTACTTCCTCCCAACCTTTCCCCATTTCAGATCCCTTTAGAGGAGAAAAGAAGCTGGTACTTCACCATGGCCACCCTGTACATCAGGTAAGATACGGAGTACCGGGCCCTGAGCTGGAATAACCTCACAAAACACGGCACATTCATAGATTCAGAGATGTTAGGGGCTGGAAGGGACCTCACAAGATCATCGGGTTCAGCCCCCCTGCACTTGGGCAGGAAAGACTGCTGGGGTCAGATGCTTGTTTTTTGAATTTTTTTTGTGGTGTTGCGGGGGGCGTTGCTTCTTCTGGAGCTGTAGAAAGGGCGTTCAAAAATCCCAGTCTGGCTCAGGGGGAAAATCTGATTCAGGCAAGTTAGGAGGAGGGACGTGAAACTGCAACGTAGGAAAAATTATGACAACAGTACCCACATTTGCCAGCCTTGGCTGCAAGGGACTGTGTAACTGCAAAGCCTAATTAATGCATGCGAGCTACTAGGCAACAGCCTGCTGAAGCATAGGCCACCAAAACATAGCTCAGCACTGAGCCACCCAGCCACTAGCTGGTAAGGGAAGCAGTCATGTTGGGTACAGGGGGTTGGGCATCTAGAAGAGCAACTAAGCCCACCTCTGGCACTCTTGTGACAGGCGAGATGGGATCCTGATGAACCAGGAGAATGACGAGCAGAAGAGGCTGCCTGCCTACAACAGGACCATGGGCTTGCTTCGACAAGTCATCAAGTCCCCCAGTTCTCACCACCGAGGTAGGGGAACCTGCTTGTTGTAGGCAAACTCCAGAGCTCCTCATAAGAAATGCCTCCTAGACCTCCTGGCTTTCAAGCCCGCCTGCCACCAACATCAATGGGGACTTTTTTTTTAGGAGTGCTGAGCCCCTCCGAGTCCCATTCCTGGTCTCTGCTCAGGGCCTGGATCAGCAGGGTGCTACATGTCACTGAAGGGATTAGGGCCCAGTTATGTACTTAGCCCTTACCTTATGTACTTGGTCCCTTACCAACTCAGAGCCAAAGTCATGGATATCAGGAAAGCCTGTGGGAACTGAATCGATGGCCCTGCTCTGCAGGAGCCATGGAAATATTTTCTTAAAAAAAAAACCCAGTGGGTCAGTTGCTAATTCCAAAGGATCCCAGAAGGGATCAGCTGTGAGAGCAATACTTCCCCTCCTCCTCTGTCAGGATCCAGGGCAGGCTGGGAGCTGAAGGGTAGGGCAGAGTGGGGGAAGCCAGAGTCACTCTACATATGGATTAACACAGCACTGTGGGCTGCCATCTCCCAGTCAAACATGTCCCATAAATGCTGAGCTCGCTGGAAATAACTCCGTGGGGAAACACGTCTCTCTGCCAAGGCTCCTCAGCCAAGACCTGTTTCCAAACTGGAATCTCCTCTTCAGCTTGGCTGCTCAGGGTGGGAAGGTTTGAACATGAAGTGGCTCCACCACTAACCTGCTCTGAATGCTGCTTTCCTAGCTCTGGCCTGGTGCTACCTTGGGATGCTGCTGGAAAAGAAAGAAACCTTTTCAACCACTCCCATGGGTATCCATGACTGTGGCTACTCTGGGGCCGATCCTCTTGACTGCTTTGGCAAGGTCAGTGCCACCACGTAAACATCAAGTGTGGGGAAGCCCCTGCTGCCCTCACCTTCCCACTCACCTCTATCCTGCCTTTTCCATCACTCCCCTTCCCTCTCCCCATCCCTCCATTCCCCCTACTCAGAGGCAGCTCACAATACAGGGAGGGCCAGCACAGCTTAAAGATCTCAGTGCTACCTATGCAAGCAGGATTGCCATCAAAATGCAGGACAGCTTCCAGCTGGTGTAAACCAGCTTAGCTTCAGTGAAGAGAATGGAGCTGCTACCTAGTGCTGCCCAGTAACCTCAGATGGACACAAGCCCCCAGAGGTTGGTTTGTTCCAGGGCTACAGTTGCTGGGATGGGAAAAGGCTTAGGCCAGGCATTTCTCGGACCCCTTACACTTTCGTCTGCTTCAACAAGCAGCTGTGCTGGTGCATAAGACAGATTGTCCATTGCAATGAAAAGTGTTTCTTGGCTCAGTGCACAAGATGGCAAGTCACTCATGGCAATGTGTTTTGCTTTCTCTGTTTTTCAAAGGCGATAGAAATAGCAAAAGACAATCTGGCCACACTAAACCTTCTGGCAAAGATCTTCCACTTCAGGGGCAAGCAAGAAATGGCCATGGGGATCTGCAACATGGCACTAGATGTTGTTCAAGATCCAGAGCTCAACTGGCAGGCATACTGCACGCGGGCCAAGGTAGGTCACTCACTGCTGAAATCAATGTGTCCAAATCCAAACGGTGCAATCTGAGCAGAGTAGCTCCACCTTCTGCCATGGTCTGGGCCGGGGCAATGTTTTTAGCCACCGCATCATCTGCACAAAGTTTGAGGTGACACTAAACTTTCCAGAGTTTCAGGAATTTGCACTGCAGTCACTGTGGCTTTGGTGGCCATGTCCACTTGGTTTCTGGAGTCACTAAAACAATGCAGCCCTCTGTCTTCTGGCACCTGGCTCAGACTTTGTAGCTGATCCTGGAAAGCCCAGTGGAATATCCAACCTTGTCCTCCAGGTTAGGATTACAGAAAAGTAGGCCTAGAAGGGACCTCACAAGGTCATTGAGTTTAGCCCCCTGCTCAAGGCAGGATCATCCCTGACTAAACCATCCCAGCCAAGTGTCTGTCCAACCTGCTCTTGAAAACTTCCAAGAATGGACACTCCAGGATGTCTCTGGGTAGCCTGTCCCAATGTCTGACCACCCTCAGAGTCAGAAAGTTCCTACTAGAACGCAAGACCCCAGTACAGCAAAGCACTTGGGCACGTGGTTAAGTATGTGAGTTGTCCCAAGGATTCAAGTGGAGCTGTTTCAGAAATACCACATACAGCTATTGCCTCACTACCACGGAGCAGTAGGCAATGAGCTGGAACTGCCTCCTAGACAAAGTGGGGAGGTGCACTTGAGGGGCCAACACACAAACACTGCCTGCTTCAGGAATTGCTCTCTGCTATTCAGACAAGACTGTTAAGCAAAGGCCACATTTGCCACTGTTGAAGAACACTGGGGACCCACCCCAGTACTGTCTATATAGTAGGAGCCCTATCTGAACAGTGCTGCACACTCCCCACCTAGCTGAGAACTTCAACAGCTAACTGTGCAGAGAGAAGGGGAGATTTCCCGGTCGGCACAGAGGCTCAGCCACGGCATCTCCAGGCTGCATGAACAGCTACCCGGCTTTGCATTCCCATGCTGCCTCTAGAGCAGCAGTTCTGAACCTTTTTCAGTCAACGTACCCCTTGGTGTCAGAGTGAGACTTCACGTACCCCCTTTCAATGGGAAATTAATTTTTATGTCAAACTACGTGTAATCCCACACACGTGCACATTTGATGGCAGTTTCAAATTGTCAAGACGTTTTTTAGGCCCTTCGACCTGTATTAGACGATGTATGAAATATATCTCACATACCCCTTGGGGGTACATGTACCTCCGGTTCCGAACCTCTGCTCTAGAGCAAGCGTTACAAGTTTAGATGTGGTTTGGCCCAGGTCAAGCATGCTGGAGCACTAGGCCAGCCCAGAGCACACTCATGGAAGCTGCTGCACACTTGCAGGCAGCTGATTTTTCCAAGTTGCGCTTCCTGTTTGACTCGGACACAAAACAGCACTGACTCAAAGGCTGTTGACTGGCTAAAGAGGTTTAGCAGTGGGGGAAGGGTTGTGCATTTCCTTGCCTCCCTTGTTCTGCCCAGACACAGCTGCACTAGGTACATATTATGGAGTCATTCATATGCTTAAAGTGCTTTGTTGAATGTGGTGCAATTACACATATGCTTAAAGTTAAGCCGTGTGGGGTGTAATGTGAGAAATTAATTAAGCGCTCCTTTGCATTTTAAGCTGCCCTGGGGGAGAGCTATGGAACCAATGTTCCACTGACTTGTGGGAACTATAGCTAAGGCAGTTGTGTCAAGAGATGTGGGTTGAAATCCTGGCTTTGGCACCAACAACTTAGCAATGGACAAACCACTTGAGTCCTAAGGGATTTATGGTGGTCAAATCCCATCGACAGAAGTGACTTAGGTACTTAGGTACCTAACTCCTACTGACTTGTAATGAGTTTTAGGCTCCTAAGTCATTTATGGTCATTTAAAACTTTCACATTTCATCACTCTAGAGCTCAGTTTCTCCCGTTTGTAAAATGGCATTGATGACTTTCTAACCTCATGTAAACAGAGCTGTTGTGTGTTGTATATTTCCAATAATATCAGTTGCAAAGATAACCTTAAATAAACATAAAGTGAAATCTCACTTAATTACTTCTACATAAAGATGCCTTAAGAAATCAATTCTATTAAGCGAATTCTCAGCCTATCTTGGCTATCTTTAATATGTGGTTAAATCTGTCCTTCAAAAGAGCTTCTCTCAAACTTCAGCAGTGGGCATGAAACTGAAAAATGTAGCATTAGAAAGGTTCCTGAAAGCCAATTTGTATCTCAGACTTCAATCTGAAATCTCTAAAGTGATCATTTCTGCAGCTCTTACTGAGGCAAAACTCTTTGCATAGTCAAAGACAAGAAGCAGTACAAATAAAGGCAGATAAGAACATACAACTGAGGGGCAGGCTACCTTCAGTTCCTATTCAGCAGTTAAAATACACAGATTAATAGGCACTGATTGCTGCAAAGGGAAATTTGAAACATGTCTCTGGCAGGTTTTAGGAGTATGTTGTTTTGGACACTTCGATACCTTTGTGGCAAAATAGCTATTTCCCCTGCTGGTGTAAGTAACAGGGATTTGCATTGCTTTACCCTAATGCAGGGGCGGGCAATTATTTCAGGTGAAGGGCCACTCATTGAGTTTTGGCAAGCCATCGAGGGCCACATGACAAGCAGCCAGGGGCAGATAACTATTAATTTTGTACATTTTTTAGGGGCCTCGCGGGCCAGACAGAATGGCCTGGCGGGTCGTGTCTGGCCCACGGGCCACATTTTGCCCACCCCTGCCCTAATGGCAGGTCTGGTGTGACATGTTCAAAGTCTTTGTCCTAACACAATTACAATTTAAATCAGCCCACCAAAACTACAGGAACTCCAAATATAGTGTCAGGTGGGAGAAAGCTGAAAATGCAGATGTCCCAAACTGAGCTACTGTGCTTCCTCCCATTGCTAGATCCACCTTAAGCTCTATCTGCAAGACCTGGAATGTGCAAAGTTGGGTTTGGGAGGAATGCCAGACAGGAAACATCTCACCAGTGCTAAAAAGGATCTGGAAAGTGTGGTACAGGTGTGCCCGTGCCTGAAACTATACCTTGACATTGGCCAGGTGAGTAAATGCCCACGTGCTCTCATATTCCAACGAGGGCAATGCCTCCTGCTTTCAGCACCTTTGTCTTCTTATTTACATTTGGTACTTAAAGAAACAAGGGCAACGGAAGGTAGAGCTCTGTTACAACTCTTTGAGTCAATTGTGAAAGTGCTGGAAATGGAGGAAGTTAAAACTTGTGGTCAAAGAGTGACTGGATGTAGTGTCAATATAATGGCCCTGGTCCCTGACAGTGCTGTACTCAGTCTCTGGCTGACAATGTGGCAGATCCCACAAATGATGCCATAAATTTTAGTGTGATCACTGATGATACCAGGTGGCCTAAGGTGTGGTGGCAGAGAACTTTTAAGGTGTCTTGCTGCAGCTCCACCAACTTGCTACCAACCCACCCACTGGGTACACATTGAAGGCTGCCTTCAGCTGTAGATGAATACATTGTCATTTGGGCTTGTAGTCAAAGGCAGCCAGGTGTGATGCTGGCCATATAACTCCCCTGTGCAGTTGTCTACAGTAACTGTCCTGCCTGAATCACACCAGCCCAGTGGGCTGCTAGGCCCAGATGAACTTGTGACCTTTTGGCATCAGGCTATAACCGTAAAAGTCTCTGGAGTTTGCCTTGTAAAGGAGTACTACCATTTTGCCTTCTGTCCTCATAGGTCTATTATTACATGGGTGTGGATGCCATACAGGAGCTGTTCCCAGTGGATGAAAATGCACTGAACAACGCACTGGTATTCCTCTCTAAAGCCATGGAGTTTGACCTGGGGGATGTGTTACCCGGAATACAGCTGCTCCGAGGGAAATGCTTGAGGCTTAAAAATGAAGAGTCAAATGCCATTAAGTGCTTCAAGCGAGCAATAGAACTGGACGATGTGGGCTCAGCTAACACAGAGAGCTTCCGGTGCCTGATGGAGACGCTCCTCATGCTGTTTGGTCAGAAGCAGGTGAATGCTGAGATGCTGATGCAGGAGGTGGAGCTGTGGGTAAAGAAGGCTGAGGAGAAGTACCTGAAGCGGTGTGTCCAACAGGAGCTGAGGCTGGTCTGGCGAAACCACATGGCCGAGGTGATTGAACTCGCCAAAGCAATGGTCGCCAGGGGGAAAACGAAACTGGTGAAGCTGCTGTTAGAGACAATACAGATGGACTCTTACAAGGCCAAACTGAATGAGCGGTCAAACTCCTTTTGAATGGCTGCTGTTGACATTGGACCCTGCAGCACAATGGCCACCTCTTAGTGCCCACCCAGACGTTTTCCATTCCCCAGGACCCTCTAAAAGGAGGAGTCGGCAAACATTAAATACTTAACTTGGATGCAGTGTCCTTCACCCATGGGTCTCCAAGCAATATCTGGAGGTGGTCAAGCATTCCTACCTCTGATAAACAGTGAAACTGAGGTCCAGGCAAAAATATGTAAAAGTGGTCTTTGGCCATGGTTGCCTCCATTTACTGAGGGCAGTTGGAGTAGGGAGCCCTCAACACCTCTAGAAATCTGGTCCCAGGTGTCTCAGCTTGGGCACTCCTCATATTTCAAAAGGTCTTCATGATATCCAACCTAACTGAAGCCAAATATAAGCTAACAGTGTGCCCTTATTGCAAAAAAGGCCAGCAGCATACTGGGTTATATTAACAGGAGTGTCGTTTGCAAATTAAAAGAAGTGATTCTTTTGCTCTATTCAGCCTTTTCTGAGGCCTTACCTGGAGTTCTGTGTCCACTTTGGGCCCTGCACTTTAAGAAGGAAAGGGACAGATTAGAAGGAGTCCAGCAGAAAGCAGCAAAAATTATTAGAGTCCCGGAAAGCATGACTTATGACAGATGGCTCAGAGAGCTTGCATTATTTGTTCTGGCGAAGAGAAGAGATGGTTGGGGCGGAGGGGGCATTTGATAACAGCCTTCAAAATACCAAAAGAGTGATGATAGAGAGGATGGAGATGGGCTATTCTCTGTGGTCATAAGGGACCAGACTGGCAGTAATGGCTTCAAACGGACGTATAGGAAACCTAGGTTGGAAATTAGAAGGAACTTTCTGACTCTGAGAGTGGTCGGACATTGGAACAGGCTACCCAGATAAACTGTGCAATCTCCATCTTTGGGGATTTTCAAGAGCAGATTGGACAGACACTTGGGTGGGATGGTTTAGTTGGGGATGATCCTGCTTTGAACAGGGAGCTGGATTTAGGTGACCTCATGAAGTCCCTTCCAGTCCTCCTTTCTTATGATCCTCCTTCTTGTAGTGTAATCCCATTACTTTTCTGTGATCATATGAAAGTTGCTCACCACCCTCTTTATAAATACCCTTCATGTATTTGAAGACTACCAGAACCCTCCTCACTCTTCTCTGGAGTAGATTATTCCAATTCTTCCAACCTTTCCTTATATGCCATTTTTTTTTCAAGACCTCTAATTACTTTAGTTACTCTCTGCTGGGTTCTTTCCTTTTTGTCCATCTCTTTCTTGAAATTCAATGCCAAGTTCTTCCAGTGAAGCCTTGCCAGTGCTGAATAGAAAAGAAAAATCTGACTTCCATATAGCACCCCTGCTATCAGTGGCTGAATTCATGGCAAGTGGAAGAGGGAAAGGTAGCTCCTCTCTCTCTTCCCTGGTGTGCACAAAAATATATCTGAAGGGCAAAGCTCTTCTATTTGCAACAAATTAGATGATGGAGAGGGAATAGTATGTTCAAAAAGCTTTTGCAGAAATCCAAATCCATTGAATCAGGTACATACATACCATGCCTATGCATACATTTCCTATCAATCACTCTACCTTTGTAGATTTACAGGCATAAAATGTAAACATTTTCAGCAAAGTGATTTTCATAGATTTCATAAACATTAGGGCTGGATGAGACCTCAAAGATCATCAAGTCCAGCCCCTCGCCCCAGGGCAAGGAAGTCAGTTAGGGTCAAAGGATCCCAGCAAGATAAGCATCCAAGTGTTTCTTGAATAAGTCCAGAGTAGGTGCCTGCACCACATCTGGAGAGAGTCTATTCCAGGCCTTGGGGGCTCAGACAGTAAAGAAATTTTTTCTTATGTCCAGCCTAAAATGGTCTTGTAGGAGTTTATGACTCCTGGTCCTTGTTTTTCCTTGGGGTGCTCTGGTGAACAAACATTCTCCCAGATCCTAGTGAACACCCCTTGTGTACTTTTGGTTACCACCAGGTCCCCCCTGAGCCTGCGCCTTTCCAGACTGAAGAGTCCCATGATGTTTGATGTAAATTTCTTTGCCTTGCAATTTTGGTTTTTTGGTACATACTTTAGTTTTAAAGGGGTTTCATAGTTTTGTAGCTGATAGCGTCGAAAGGGACCTGAGCACATCATTGAGTCCGACCCCCTGCCATGGCAGGAAAGAGCACTGGGGTCAAATGACCCCAGCAAGGTGTTCATCCAGCCTCTTCTTAAAGACCCCCAGGGTAGGAGCCAGCACCACTTCTCTTGGAAGTTGGTTCCAGCTCCTAGCCGCCCTGACC